AGTTCTAACTTCTGTTTCGAAAAATGACGTTACACACATTCGCTGCCAGCATAACATGTATTGTTTGACAGTAACAAAATACAATTGACATCTGAACCCCAAACGGACCGCCATCCACTCAAATTTTATAACCCTGACCGGTCAGGGGGCGAATGGAGGTCATTTCCTGGGCATCACACTCAGCCCTTGCACAAAATATCTCACCTCACAGTGATCATTACAACAATAGCACCGACTTGATAGTGGATTTCAAAGTACTTGCATCAGCTCTTCCTGCTATTGCAGACGATCATCTCCTCAGGGTAATGTTGTTCGGGACATGAACGAAGATCGTTTTCGGAGTTTCATAAGTGCTACTGCAACAGCCTGGCACAAAACAGGACTTGTACGCTCTTCTCTGCACTTTGCCCTTCAGTATATCACAGAAGAATTGTTTAGAATCCATCTTACGCTTCTTTCACAGTCTCCCTTGCCACCGTAGGGCGTAGATAGATTGCTGTTGCTGGTAAGTTAAGGCACGGTAGATAGAAACCAGTAAAACGCCTTTTGGGCGAAGAACGAGCGAGCGAGATAGTGAGCCCTGCACGTGCGGAAGGGCGAGAGGGTGCTTCCAACGGGCTTGTGCAAAGCACCCTTCTAACCGGTCGCTAGCGGTGTGCCAAATTTGAACGCAATCGGCCCAGCCGTTCCTGAGATCTAGAAGCGGCATTCTGCACGTGCGCACGTGCAAACGGGGTCCAAAATGACTTTTGCACGGCACCCTACTAACTGGTCCCCAACCGTGTACCAAATTTGAGCGCAATCGGCCCAGCCGTTCTCGAGATCTGGAAACGCCCCCTGCACGTGCGCACGTGCAGTAGCACCCTAACCGCAACACATGGGAATGCAATGCCTGGTGGGTGCCTACCTGTATGCCAAGTTTCAGCGAAATCGCCCCAGTAATTACCGAGTTACTGAAATGGGAACAAATTTGGCACCTCTTATTGTTGTATTTTGCACGTGCACTGGGGGTGACCCACATACATCGAGAGTATCCTATTTTGGGTAAAAGGGATGCTGCTACCCTACAAAAATTACCGCAAGTCAATCGCCCAAACGGCTGCTGAGATATGAGCCTCTCAAAATCACTACTTTTGCAAAACAGCTTGAACACCCTTGACTTTTCACGTGGCACGTGCCACGACGGTCACTGAGATGTATCAAAAGTAGTCAATTACGGGGTAGAAGGGATGGGGCTACCCAACAAAAAAGACCGCAAGCCAATCGGTCCAGCGGTTGCTGAGATATAAGCCTCTCAAAAGCGTTACAGGCCGGGCCGGGCCGGGCCGCTCATACTGAGATTTTTCCGTTATATTGAAAAGACTCACTTCGCTCGCTGCGCTCGCTCGCTCGTAATTACCTCGGTTCTCAACGCCTTAAGTTATTTTCATAAAAAAAGAACAAATAAATGATCAATAAGATGACAGGAATGTAAACATTTTAATCGTACAGTAGTCCAAATATTGGAATGAGCTTTTGCTTTTCAGCATCCTCCGATTCATCATCTTTATCATTTGAAAATTCGAGGTACATAAAATGTTTATCACGCGCTCATGTTAAGTGGGAATATAGTACACGGCAGACACATCAATTTTTGACACTGAACATTTCATCCGTAAATGTTTTAGCATAATTTAAAGTTAAAAACAGCGCGAATGGCAGAGTGAAGCAAACAACATCTTTCACCCATTGATATAACATGTAATCTGTGGTGCGCCAGATGCGCCATTATTTGTCAACCGCAGAAGGTGACATGTGACGTAACAGCATCAAGAGCATCTTTTTTCAAGAACTTTTCAAAACAAGTTTCCTATCTTTCTTCCCCCATTTCTCTCAGCTTATTGATTTTACGAGGCAATGGTATGCACCATAAATTCTATGAAAATGGTTTGATCATTTTCATGCATTCTTAAAAAATCGAGTTCCCAACCCCATTGGCGGTACGCGGTCTGAATGTTTAATTCCTATATCTGGGACACTAAAAGAATAATTATTTCATCTTGCTGCCGTCCGTGCCGAATGAGGCGTGCTAATTCGATGTAACAGTACCTACTAATGCTCCTTAGGTCATGTATCAAATGATGCGGCATGATGTTCGGTATACATAAGTGTGTACTGTGAATGTCCTAGCCAGAAGCCACATTGTTGATGGACAAAAAAAAAATAAAGATAAGCACCTCGCACTGAAGTAGAGTTGCAAAATTTCCCTACCGCACTACCGGCATGCCGGTAATTTTTCACTACCGCAGGTTTTTTCGTGGTATCTGGCATGTCTTGCCGGTAGCATGCCAGTATTTTTGATTTTGCACAAAAAATTATCAGCATATGATTCAAACTTTGGACACTAAGAGGCTATTGAATTGTAATAAGTTGGACAATGGGTGGCTGTTGGGTGGGGCGGTTACTGAAATTGCCAAAATGTGGCATCTCATGTAGGGGTAAGCCAGAATCAAGAATGCAGGTTTTTTAGTATGCCGGTAATTTGGCGGTTTTTTTTTTTTTGCTTGGGGCGTGGTAGCATGCCGGTATCCCAGAAAATGTTTGTGGGGCGGGGCGGTGCCGGTAACAGCCCATTGGGAAAACTTTGCAACTCTACACTGAAGCATCTATTCATCATTGACAGTAAGCGAATAATCGGTCACCCAGACGACCGGCCACCTCCGCGTCAGACCAATCAGACGGGCAATTTCCGGCCAATCAGCTAATTTGACAATCTGGCCGCGAAATATCGGGCCATATGACTAATGGCAGCCGCCGCGGTGGCTCCTGGCCAGACGTTTGTCGACTGTTTGGCCCAGTTGTGGCGGCTGTGAGAGTCAGCCGGCAGCCGTGGCGTGGCGTGCAGCTACGTCAGCACGCGCCGCCGGCCGATCACAGACACCGGTATGGGCTGGATCAGCACCGCGGCACGACGCTGAGACGGTGATATAGCCCGGTCCGCTCGGTACAGAGACGTGACGGGACATAGACACAGGGTAGGGGACTGGTCGGCCGGCGACACGCCGCCTGGATGGACTGTCCAGCGAGCACGGTACGCCTCTGGTGGACCAGGGAAGAGGAGTGCGGCGGAGAGGGATATTCCAATTTCCGAAGCAGCGAGGGACATACAAGGGCAGGAAGGGACACATCAGGGGGATAAGGAAGTAGAAAGGGACACATTAGCGACATACGGAGGCAGGAAAGGACACACCGCCCGAGGGAAGTACCCATATGAACAGAGTTCAATGGAGCAGGCAGGGATTCACTTTATCGTCTTCGTAACCGAGCCGTCCGCGGTTTCATTCAGTAGGCCGGCATGGAGGGATTCAAGGTATAGCTCAGGGTACTGATCCAAGGGAAGCGATGAAAGGCACACAGACATGTCGAACGAGACTGCAGCGAGGGCGGACACGGTGGTCGTCTGGCCAGTACAGACGGGAAATTGGTGAAAAATCTGTGTAACTCGGGTTAACACGGCATTTAAATAGGTCAGGCAGTTAGACAAGCGGCTGGGCTAATGTTGTGCTTCCTTGGAATGGGGCATGGGACATGTGCTTTCGAGAGCAAGTCAACAGAAGTGGAAGATACTGCATTTGTACTTGAATTAGCCTAAGGTGAGAAGAAATGCGGCCCTCGCCGTTCAAGTTCGTCCGATTGCAGAACATGGGTCCGCCTTTCTCAGCGCCGGTACCAAACAGTGGTCAGGATAAACAAAGCGCCCCTCTGCACGTCAGAACAGCACATTCCGAGCAGAGTTATCCTGCAGACATGTCTACAAACTTCATGATTCCGGGAACAGCAGCCTATTCTGGCCTGCAGACCATTTAAGTCCAGATGCTGGTGGATGGGGTGCAAAGGGCGACCTCTCCTGTATGCTGCAGGACATAGAGGGCTGTGGCCACCACTGATCACTCGCTCCAAGGCAGTGGCTGTGACACCACAACACGACCTTCAAAGTCTAGTATGGGCGCCAGGAGCTCACGTTAGAGAAATTATCTCCGTCTCGATCGTATGAGGCGGATGCTCATACGTATGGGGCAGACAAAAGCAAGCATACGGTAGTTCATAAAAGCAGATACGAAGCAGAGCATACGGAGAAAATACAGACCGGATAAGGACGAGAAAATGATATGGAGCGGATCGAACACGAGTAGTGGAGCGGACATAGTAGGTACAGAGCGGACCCGAAGAGCCAGCAGTGCCCACACGACACTGGCCCTAGAGACAGCCACTTCGATAGGCCCTCCAAGCACTTCAGAGTCAGCGCCCGGTGCCCTCTCTACCGGACGCCAGCCGTCACCAGCGGCGGTCGAACTGGCCGCCAGCCAACACAGACGCCACCCATGTCCGTCGGCTAGAGTCCGCGAAAAATAAACAACAGACGCCATTTGGCCACGTAGAAAAACTCAGCCAAAAAGCGGGCCGTAAAACCGTCAGCCGCTCGCCTCTAACCGTCATTCCGCCGGCCAATAAACGGAGCAAAAACCACGGTAACGACGTGCCGGATGATGCGCGCCGTCTACGGGAGACATTCTATTCGGCGAGAGGAATCGCAGTTCTCTGAATGGCGTCTGAGGGCGTTCTTTAGAGCGATTTCAGACATTGCATCCAGATAAATACAGATGACTCTCTGATGAGCCACCGTCTCTGTAGGTACTTTGCTGTAACTATTGAATTTATAAGAAAACGAACTAATCAGTGTTCAATCCATTGTATCGGGCGGATGTGATGTGCTTGTGATAGTCATGATTTGTAGTGAGCCCTACCCGTGTCGGTGTGTTGTGTCCACCCGTGCTGCCCGTGTCCAGCTACACAAAACGGAGCACCCCACAAAGCGACTGGCTCGCCGTGGGCACTGCACGGCCGGGGGAGGGGGGGGGGCAGACCCGGTCAGTGAGGGGGGCAGACCCGGTCAGTGGGGTCACAGAGACCCGGTCAGCGGGGTCACGCGGGGCACACACGAGCCATGCACGGGGACCCACCTGAGCCTTGTCCTTGACCTCGTTCTGGGCGCGCCAGGCGGCGATGGCCGGCTGGCGCATCTTGTCCTGCAGCTCGGTGCTGGCGCCGCGCTGCCGCAGCTCGGCCGGACACTTCTCGAAGATGGAGACCCGCTCGGCCACAGAGCCCTGCGTCAGGAACGGACGGATCGCCACGCCGGCCGCGTTGTACGGCGTCGGCGAGAGAGTGCGCTCGCGGATGTGCGCCTTCTGCTCCTCGGTGAGCTGCGGGTGCGGCAGCGGCGACACGGTACGTGGCGCGTCACCGGCGGCCGCCGCGGCCTTCTGCAGGGCACGCTTCCTGCGCCACGACTCTGGCGGCAGCAGCACGCCCGAGTCCGGGTCGACGGCGTACCGGCCCGGCAGCCACTCGGCGCGCCACTGCGAGTCGCTGATGTTGATCTGACCGTTGTCGTAGCGCGAGCGCGCCTCGGTGACCTGCGCGCCGGTGGCGCCGGCGCCGCGCGCCATCGAGCGCGAGTCCTCCAGGCGCTGAGCGGCGCGCGAGCGCTGCTGCGGGTCCTGGAAGCGCAGCTTGGCGTAGTCGACCGTGGACATGGCCAGTCCGTCGGGGCGCGGACTGAGGTCGCGGCGCGGCGCGATCAGGGAGCCGCTCTGCAGGGCCGAGCGCAGCTGCTCCTCCTGCTGGCGGACCTCGGCCAGCGCCGCGTCCGCCGCCCGCTCCGCCTCGGCCGCCGCCGCCGCCGCTGAGGAGGCGGCCGGGCCGGCGGTCTGCTCGGGCAGAGCTGTGCGCGGCTGGTCGGCCGGCCGGGCGCGGGCCTTCAGCGGCCAGGTGGCGGTGCTGCTGTCCGGCTCGTCGCCTGCCTCCAAGACCCGCCGCTCGCCGTTGGTGCTGACCTGGAGCCGCGAGTTGAGCAGGTTCGGAGCGGTCTTGGCGCCGCGGTAGGCGCGCTGCTCGCCCGGCCGGGCCGGTAGCGTCTGATAACCGGCCGGCGGGGAGCTGGGAGAGCTCGGACCGCCGCGGCGCGCCTTGTCCTCCTGCACAAAGTTTTTGACGAGCTCCTCGAGCGATCGGTCGCTGTCCGGCGATGCCAGTAGGTCAGCCGGTGAGATAGCGCCCCGCTGCGGCTGCGGCTGCTGCGGCTTCCAGCGGTCCGGAGGCGGCGCGGTGCGGCCGTGAGCGGTGGGCTCTCGCCGCGCCTGGCCAGCCGCCTGCTGCTGCTGCTGAGACAGCGGCGGAGAGTGCTGCTGCTGGTGCTGGACAGCATTGGGACTGTGCGGCTGCGGCTGCGGCTGCTGCTGCTGCTGAGGTGCCGGTTTCTGCACATGCTGCTGATTGGTTTGCTGCTGGCTGATAAACTGCTGCTGTTGTTGCTGTTGATGCTGCTGTGACTGATATTGCTGCTGCTGGGGCTGTTGCTGTTGTTGCTGCTGCTGCTGCTGCTGAGGCTTCCAGCGGTCCGCCGGCGGCTGACGTCTCTCTGCGGTCGGCGATTCGGCTCCGTTGACCCGCGGCTGAGCACCGCCTCTCTCCAGCCGGATCGGTATCGTGTGCTCCAGGGGCTGCGGACTAGAGGGGGAAGGCTGAGAGGAGGGCGCAGCGGCGGCGCGGCCGGCCGGAGACGGGGTCGGGGTGCGGCAGGAAGGGGTCGAGGCGCGCGAGCCGCCCTCACGCAGGTGCCGAGACAGAGTCTGCGCCGCCTCACTATTCAGCGAGGTGGTGTTGTGCGACTTTAGCACATCAGCCGGCGCCAGGCCACGTGCCTTCCACGTCTGGTAGAGCGTCTCGGCGTGGTCGGCGATCTGTTTGGCGATGTCCTCCAGCTCGTCACCGGCGGAGCTGGAGGGCGGCGGCGTGTCCAGCTGCCGGGCGGCCTGCGCGCGCTGCGCCTGCTGCCGGCTGATCAAGGTGCGGATGTTGTCGGTGGTGGCGGTGAGCTGGTCGGCCAGCCGGTTTACCTCGGCTGGCGAAACGCCCTCGCCGCCGCCGCCGCCGCTCAGCTCTCGGAATAGGTCACTGGGGTCGATCACGTTGTTGACCGACATGATGCCGGCGCGAATCACGCAGTTATCGAATCACTCAGTGTCACCGTACGCGCACGTGAAATCACAACCGACGCACTCGTCACTCGGCACTCGCTGCCGTTCGGCGCCCGCCTGGCGCGGTCACTGCGGGTCACTGGAGGTCACTGTCTGACCTAATGTGGGCCACTGCGGGTCACTGCCCGTCACTGCGGGTCACTGCCGGTCACTGAAGCGGCTCGGTCGGGCCGGCGGCGCTCACTGGCGGCCTGGCATGCCTTTGGGCCGGCAGCGGCGCTCCACACCTGGTCCCCACCAGAGCCGGGCGTCTCGTGCGCACGCGCGCGTCCCGCCAGAGATCTAAAATAGCACGGCACACGGTGAGGCGAAGTCGTCGGTGGCACTGCGCTCTCGGCGGCGGCGGCGGCGGCGGCGGCGACGGCGGAGAGGTGGGCCCGATTTGGGCAGGCTGAAGGTCGCAGACTCGCAGGAGTCGCCGGGAGCGGAGGATGAGGATGGGGTGCCGACCCGACCCGGCTCAGTTCGGCTCGCGCCCTGAACACCCACAGAATGATTTACAGAAATACATAAAAAGCGTGTGTTTTACCTCTCATTGTAGACCTTGATGAATTGCCCATTCCTTTCAAATTCAACCCGAAAGCTGGGTATGCAATCTTAATGGAAGTGAGCTTGACTTGAGGGCAGAATTGAATCAGATAAAAATGACATAACTGAATGGGACATTACCTAGTGAAAACAATATCATCTAGAACGGTTATTAGCAAATACTAGTTATATAGATTGGAAAGTTCCTAAGAAGTGAATGCAGATTTCATTGTTAAATTTATCCATAAGAGGGACGCGAATCCCGCCACAAAACTGCAGAAGGGTTTATGGACGTTCAGCAAATAAAAAAGTTTTAAGTTGCGAGTCCGGCAAAATATTACAAAAAAAAATGAACGCTTACACCTTGCATGCTGCTGCCAAATACGGTTTTATGTTGCAAAAACAAAATGATTTATGAGGTAGACGTTGAAGACTCGGGTCTCGGTGTCGGAAGTAGCACATCACAAGATCGTCATTTATCATGCCGTCTAATTAGTTTTGCAGACAACCAAAATAAAATAAAATCGGATCCATCTGGATTTTTGGAGCGAAAACCAGAGTTATATGGTGATGTTCAGGCAGAGGTCAGGAAGTTTCCACAGAAAGAGACGAGCCAAGGAGAGATTAGGAGCGTCGCCATGCCAACCTCGCAGCGCCACACGCAGCTCAGTGCAGAGAGCAAAAGAAAACAAAACAACACAACACAAAACAAGCAAGGAGTGACCGGTCAGTCGGCTGTCCGGCCGGCCGGCGGACCAGACGCAGCCCGGAGTGACGGGGTGGCGTCGGTGACACGGGGACCGGCACACCCCGCCCTGCCGTCGACCGTCGACCGTCCGACCGGCCGGCCGAGCCGCCAACACAAACAGCGCCTGCCGACCGCCGCGGCCCGGCACCTGCACGGCACGGGACCGGTCGGCCGGCAGCACCACCCACCTACGGCGCAGCCACGGCAACCGGAACGCGTAGTTGTTCATGGTCGGAGACGGGGCGGGAGGGCGGCGCCAGCCGAGCGGCCGGCCGGCCGGCACTGCCGGTACGCCGCGGGGCGGGGTCACTACACGGTACACGGTAATCACCAGCTGGGTCAACTTGGGTCTACGTCTGAAAACCCGAGACACAACCGCAACACTGCACTGTCACCATTTCCTCCCCAGCATCCCCACTCCCACCATTCACTCTCCCGAGCCTCAACCCTTCCTAGACAGCCCGCCACCCCGCCACCGCCAGCAGCTACCACACCGCCTGCCTCGCGGGCCACTGCCACATCGTCAACTGCCCGACCCAGAGCCCAGAGCCGGAGCACTCACTGCCAGACCCCCATCACGTGGCTGAGGGCGTGCCGCCGGCGCCTCTGAGAAGGCCTGGTTACCAAGCATGCGCCCCTTGACGCCGCCAGTAGCCAGTAAAGACCGGCGGCCAGACGGACACCAGACCAGACGAGTCCTGGCTATAGCCGGTTATCAACAGCGCGGGACTCCATATAAATGCCAGCGCACCGCACCCAAATTCCGTAACTAAAACTGTATTTGGTTGTATACGGTTGTCATTGAACACAAAATTATCATGTGTCATATCAACCAATAAATCCTCACAGCCATGCCTCAGGACCCAAGTCGGTGTGATTATTGCAGGGGCCTGCGCCATAACTCCTCGTTCACCATTCATCTTTCAGCCCATCTGGCCGAGCTCACCCGGTGCCAGCCTCAGTTCCGTCGGTCGGCCGCCACCGCCCAGTGAGCGGCCACCGTGACGCACCGGGCCCACCCGGCGCTCGTCGCTCCGCCCCCCCCCCCCCCCATCGACACCGACGCGTCGGTCGACGACTTCCGGCGTGCGGCCGCGGCGCTCACTCGTCGCCCGCGGTCGGGCGGCGCGGGCGAGGCTGTGTGCGTGCCGCCGCAAAAAGAGGGCCGCAGCACACCGCTCTCCGCGCGCCGCGTGGTGCCGGAGCCAGAGAAAACAACGCGCCGACCGCGGATCGGATATCGGCGGTACGGGCGGGCTGCGGACGGGGGCGGAGCCGGTCCAACCGAGCGGCCGGCACGGGGTAACCTCAGTCGTCAGCTGTCAGACCTCAGCGGTCACCAGAGAGGGCTGAGGTCACACGGCTCTGAGGTCAGCGCCGATCACAGGCAGGCAGTGCCGAGGCGGGCAGTCCCTAAACACCTTGATTGGCAAGATGGAAACCACTGCACAGCTTATCATCCACAGCCGGCGGCCTGGCTGGCCATCTGAAGCGGCCGAAACTCATACTTCGGGAGTCAGCAGTCTGCACCCTGCACTGAGTGCACACTCACAGTGCACAGCACAGCCGCCAGCTGGTCGGTCAGCTGTCCCGCCTCCCCCCCCCCCCCCTTCCCCCTCGCCCCCACCCCCAGCTGTCCCGAAATCGAGCCCAGCCGGCCAGCTCAGGTGGCTAGCTCAGCCCAGCGCGGCCCGGGAAACCGAAAGTTACGCGTAACCAAATAAGCGCGCGCGGGCTGGGACGTTTCGTCAGAGCCAAGGAGTAGGAGCCAGTTGGCGCGACAGATCATACAGCAGAGACTGAGAGACGCCGCGCTCTCGGCTCGATGATAAACACAGGTGAACTAGCCGCCAGCCGGTAACACATAAGCCAGGGGATAACCAGGGTGACTGGGTTCTCCAAAGATAAGTCTGATGGGACGGCCGTGTCGCAGGAAATTGTTCAATGTTCATCTCCCGACCTGGGCCAGTAGCCAGCAGACGGTCAGACCCAACCGGCCGCCGCCCGTCACGTCCTGGCCAGGGAGGGAGGAGGGAGAGGGAGTGGAGGGAGGAGAGAGAGGGAGTGGAGGGAGGAGAGAGAGGGAGTGGAGGGAGGAGAGAAGGCGTCGCCGGGTGGACCGCTCCACTCCAGACCAGCCGGCCCACGCAGGCGGTATGTCAGAGGCCAGAGCCGCTGCGCGTCGGCCGAACTGAGTGAGCGCCAGCCGCCCGCCCCCAGCAGCGCCCGGCGGGGGCGGGGGCGGGGGCGGCGGGGAGCTGAGTTATGGCCCGCCTGATTGGACCGGGCGGAGGATATGACGCGCCGCTCTGCATACACGCACACGCAGCCATGGCGCCGTCCGCCGCCCGTGCCGATAACGATAGGGGTTATTGGAGCGGAGAAACGATTGGGGCGCGGGGCGCAAGGTCAGGTCACTGGAACCGTAGCACCGAGACGGGGCCCAATCGGTCGAATGAGCAGGTGACAGCCCACAGTTCCTCTAGGAGACCTTGTGGCGAAACTGTGACAAGGTTTCTGACTGTTTAACCAGCCCAGGGCCTTGTGGTCGTCAACTCCAGAGTTCTTGAACTCCGCCGCGCCCCTATTCTGCCCCACAAAAATGGGGTGAGTGGGTAAACGTCCGAGCCAGGGCTCTGATCTCTGGCGGACCCGAGGTCGGTGCCAAGACCCCGGCCCGGCAACCGCATGCAGTCAGACCGGCCGCTGGCACCGGGCGGACCTTTGTACCGGACAGGGAACGACAGGCATCAATCCGGCGCCGTGCACACAGCTGACCCAGACCCTACGTCACACCTGTGTAAATCTGGAGCGAATAGCGCGGTCGGACGCCACTGATCTGCGCTGCTTATTTGCCCAGCAGCTGCGATCGGCGGTCTACGGTGCCGCCCCGTATACACAGACACGCCGGCCGGCTGTATATGAAGCAGGTCTGCGCGCCGTGCGTCTCTGCCGTGCCGTCGCTGCCAGCGCTGCGACCACCGGACCAGAGCGGGCACCGCGAGCGTCAGACGAGCGGGTATCGGCGGCGGTCCCTCTGCTGTCACCGCGTCCGGCGGCACTGCTGTCACTGCTCTCTGTCAGCGGCGCCGTCACGCGGCCCGCCCCCGCCCCGCCCGCATCGCAGCATCAGCCGCCGCCGCCAGGCATGAATACAATAGCGGGAATCCGCTGCAGGAGCGTGGAGCACGAGATCAGCAGCCCACTCAGGTTTTCAGAGATTCCAAGAACGACGAGAAACATCCGTCCCAGACATAAATCATAGGGGGATCAAACGATCGGGCCGATAGCCGGCCGGACCACCGTGCCGGCACGGGCGGCACGGCACGGGCGACGGATCACCTTCCCTGCCACTGCGGAGAAGGCACGGTTCTCAGGTCAGGCGGGTCACTGTGACCTTCTCAGGCGCAAGGTGACCTGGCGGCCAGACCGTGACCTGGTCAGGGGACCTGGGCCACTGTGACCTGATCAGGTGACCTCGTCAGGTGTAATGTCGCCGTGACCTGACCGCCAGTCCCCGCCGGCAGCCCGGTGGCCGTCGTTTGTTCAGGCAGACCATGTCAGACACATCTCATGGTGTTTGCCAACTGAAGTGGCCCTACCTAGCAAAGTGTCGGATGATGACACAGTGGCACCGATGTCCCATCTCCGGCTGACGGCCCTCAAGGTCGGACGGAGGCCGAAGGTGATCCGTACCACAACGCCGCGGCATATAGTCCCAGCAGGTGTGTGAAATGCTCAAAGGACTGAAAGCAATAGACTCCGACGGAGTTGGGGGAAGAAATGGGATCACTGGTATAATCGAGCATTCAGAGCTGCAACAAGGCAACGTTCGAAACCACAAGGATAGCAGAATCGAACTAAATCAACCGGTTGATAACGTTGAGAAAGCAAACGACGACGGTGAAAAAATAACGTTTGAGCCCCAAATGTAGCCCCGTTTGTCCTCTGGCTTGGAGCCCAAGCGCGTCATACACCTACGCTCCACGACGATTTACAATACTAA